AGGCAGGCGACAAGGGCGAGCTGGGTCGAGCCAAGGGTGAGCTAAGAGGTTAGCAGATTCTAGAAGAGCCTAGAACCATGTGCAACGTTCTAGACAAGCCTAGAGAGTGCTATAAGAATCTTGGGAGATCCAAGAGGTACCACAATCTAGAGCCAACTAGAAGGTTGGAGCATCATTTGGAGATTTTTGGAAAGTTCCATTACCATTCGGATCTACCTAGGGGCTTCTAGAGCCTTCTATCAAGATCTAGGCCAAGACATGCCTAGAAAGCTCTAGAAAGAAAGTGCACACACAGACACACACACACACATATATATATATATTCATTTGGAAGATTTTGGAAAGGTTCCATTACCATTATCGGATCTACCACCTAAAGGGGGCTTCCTAGAAGCCTTCATATCAAGATCTCAGGACCAAGACATGGACCTAAGAAAGCTCTAGAAACGAAAGTGCACACACAGACACCACAACACAATAATATTATATATTACTATATATAATATATATAGAGAGAGGAGAGAAGAGAGAGAGAAAGGAGGCATAGCATGCCATAAGAGAGAGAGAGAGAGAGAGAGAGGCATAGCATGCCATAACTTCTTACGCGGTGTAAAGTTTTCCATTGCTTAGTGAAATCTTTTTCCTCCAGTCTGTCTCTCTAGATCTGTTAAGCTCTAAAGCTTCATTACTTTGCCATCATCCTCACTTTGAGGATGGGGAAGGCTGACTAGCTAACTTGTGAAAAAGTTTGCTAGTGCCGCATGGACAATTGCTATGTAGTGAGCCAAAAGCACCGAGCCCGTGACACATAACATTCAGTATACTAGTGTTTAGAAGTTAGAGGAACGACTCTCTTAATGCTTAGTTGATTGGTAATAAAATAATTAACAATTACTAAAATAATTAATTGTTATTAAAACAAAAAGAATAGTGAGAAGAAAGGTTTCGATGATACTGGTTTCTATTTTCTTAAGAGAAAAAAAATAGGGTGGCCTCTTAATTATTTTTTATAAAAACAATAAAAGTTTATTATTTAATTTTAATATGTTTAAAACTACTGAATATAGTGTATGCAAAATATGATAAATTTAAATATTAATAGGATAAATTATATGGGTATGCAACTAGATAATTTTGAAGACAGAAAAACATCGTTAATTACATTCACATCCTATATTTATTTTATATAAAAGCTAAATTGGATCTGCTTTCCCATGTTATAATCTTCGACCCCACTGCTATACTTGATGAGACACCATATTCAACAAGTTAAATAATAATAATAGACAAGCTATAACTAACCAAGTTATTTTAAAAGAAAAGAAAAAAAAAAAAAGAAAAAAGAACATGTGGTGCCAACCTGGGTCTTCTGTTCTGAAATTCTTTTTTTATGATATGATTACAAAACAGAAAATAGATTTCCCCCTCTCATGGAACACGTTAATTATACTTGTTCAATTTGTTGACAATCTTGCATCAGAACTTAAAATGTCATCTTATTCTTGGACCATAATTACAAATTACTCCCTCTCTTCTAAAGTATAAAATTTTAACACTCTTGAAAAGAAGAAGAATGAAAATAATGAAAGAATTAAAATAATGAAAGAAAATAAGGATGAATTGTTAATTTTCATCCTTGTGTTTGGATGATGAAGGAAAATAATAAAGGAAAGAAAATAAATTTATTTTACTTTGTTTGGAAAGGTAAGATTTTAGAGGAAAAAATTGTTAATATTGATATCTTACCATTTTAACCTCACTTATCCATTTGAAGGACTTTGATGATCATATAACTTCAATGATAGTGTTATTTTTATAGTGTTTTCAATATAGTTTTATTAGGAGTTTTTAGTATTTTTAATTACTTTATTTAGTTTTTATCTTAATTTTATAGTGTTATTTTTATATGTTATTTTTATAGTGTTTTCAATATAGTTTTATTAGGAGTTTTTAGTATTTTTAATTACTTTATTTAGTTTTTATCTTAATTTTATTTATGTTTTCATGTAAAAGCTTTCTTGAATTATAATTCACTTGGTCTTAAGGAAATTTATAGGGTTTTGGCATAGAAAGAGCAAAATAAAGCAAAACACTCAGGCTCTAGCACATCCAAGCCGTGCACATCAGCATGCCCGTGCTCGAATTAAGGAAAATCAAGTGGAGACTCAGAGCCTAGCACGCCCGTGCCACAAGTCCTTATCCAAGCGTGCCTCTAAGCACGACCCATGCTGAACTCCCCATAGATTCAGAACTTGGCACGCCCAGACCGTGGTTCCCAGCACGCCCGTGCTAAATACCAAGTGCTGATTTGAGTCAAAATTTCCAACCATTCCTTATCATTTTCATGAGCTCATCTTGGATACTTTCTTGACATGCAAATCAAGTTCTAATCTATGCACATGGAAAAGACATGTTTGAGAGAAATTTAAGGCCTAATGAGAACTTTAATAGAGAACTTTATTCCGCCTAATGAGAACTTTATTCCCTAAACAAGGTGGAATTTATTCCCTAAACAATGTGGATTTATTCCCTAAACAATGTAGAAGTTCTCTCCCAAGAAAGTCTATATAAAGAGAGAAAGGATCCCAATTCATTCCATCTCAAATCCCATACCATCCTATCCCATTCCATTCCAGATCCATCTCATCTCATTCTCTTACCCTTGTATATAGTTTTATTTCTTCAAAAGTTCAAGTATTCAAGAGTTGTGCAAAGATTCAAGGAAGTCATTCAAAGCCATTGTTAACTAGTTTTTATTTCTAAACTCTTAATCTTGTTTATTTTTAATCTTGTTTATTTCTTTCATTTTTTTATTTCTAAACTCTTAATCTTGTTTATTTCTTTCATTATTCTTATTGATTATGGAATATTTATCAAGTATTATTGAGTTTTATTTAAGCACTATATCTAACTAAATTCTTATACTAGGGATTTGATGTAACTTAACTTCTTTTCCAATTTATAATATTAGATTTATTTTTCTTTGTTCAAGTTATGATTGATTGATAAACTTAATAATTCCAGGCTGAGGTTATCCCCTGGATTGATTTATTTTATTAATCACTATCGGAAGATGGATTTTTGATATGAAAAAGTTAATGAATCACATGAGAATAACAAATTGACACGGAAGCTATATGGTTTGACTCATGGGGGTTTTCATAAATTAACAACTTCAATTTATGATTTTGTAAACAAACTGCAAAGCTTAATGATTTGATTCAGGTTTAATTATGCTATTGGAAGATAGGTACTTAAAAGGAATTAAAATAGCTAACAATACATTGGGAGATCTTGTCCGTGATTTTAGAGTTGTTTCCCCTACTTGAATAATTAAAATTGATTAATGAACTAATAAAATAAATTGGATAGAATTAAGTGAAATCAAAATCCCTAGTATTAAATCCTTGTTTTCTTTAATCAAATTTTGTTTGCTTGACCTCTTCTTATTTTTACTTGTTGAATTTAAATTCTTGAAACAATTTTCTTATTTAATCGTTTAAATAATAATAGGTTAACATAATTTTGGTACTTGGTATACAATTCTCGTGGGAACGATACTCTATTCATCATATATTACTTGTAGCGATTTCGTACACTTGCGAAAGCACTGTCATTCAATATCTTCAATATTTAATTAAAAGTAGTTTGGGTATTTGAATAAGCGTAAAAATTGAAGAAACTTTAACATTCCACCATTTCTCTCCCAAAAGGAGAGATTCTATCTTTATGAGATAGAGAGGAAAATAAATTAGTTGTCCTTTTATTAATTTTCCTTCTTTTCCAAATAAGGTAAAATTATTTTCCACAGCTATTTTCCTCAGCTATTTTGATTCCTTCAAAAAAATACCTCCATCCAAACAAAGTGTAAGATTTTTATATCAGATTAAAAAAACAATTAATTCTCTTAAATTATAAAAAAAAGAGGTAATTTAATCAAATTATCATTTATCTCACATCATTACTCATATCTAACATCATTATATTATATTTGACATATAAATAACTGTAAAATTAAAAACAGATTATTTATTTCTCTTTAAAATATTTAAACGATTTATATTTTATGATAAAAATATTAACCTAAAATGACTGATATTAATTAATTTTAAATTCGTGTTAGATTTTAGACCAAATGAATAGCAAAATATGGACAATGATTAAAGCAAGGAACAAGTGTCATGTCTCTTATTTGTTCATTCTTGACTGTGGGGACAATGCATTTACAAGTGTAAACTGAGCCGCAAATTTGATATTTTCAACAATGCTCTAATATTTTCTGAACAAAATTCTTTTATATTATGATTTCAGCCTCAAAAAAATTGTAAGATTATAATATAAGTTTAATACGATGACATTTACCTATCCCACGTCATTATAAAATATTTTAATTTTAAGGATAATTTAGATATTTTACTGTATATTTTAAAAAATCAATGTGATCATTTTCTTTTTTTTTAATTCTTATAAAAAAATTAAATATTGTTATTAAAGTGGAACAGAGAAAGAGAAAATATTAATCTATATCTCACGTTGATACATCTATCTACATAAATATATGAAAAATAAAATATATTTATTTTAATACTAATACTTATTTTTTGCCTTTCAAAAAAAAAAAAAAAAACTAAAAAAAAAAAAAAAAAAAAACTACTAAAACTTATTTTTTGAGTTGAAATTAAATTATAACTAGTCATACCTTTACTCTTGTCGCGATTTAATATGCATTAAGTTATTTACTGTAAGTACAACTGTTCAAGTGCTGACTCGGATTGAGATTGGGCAAAGTTTAGTTCGGGCTTACATATTTTTTAACTAAGCCCAAATTCAGCCCAACATAAAATATAAATGTAATATTAAACCTAAACCCGGCTTAAATTTCTTTTCATTGAACCAAAGCCCGGTCTGACCAGCCCCAGTCATAATTAACAAATTTCAAGTAAAATTATATAAATACATTATGTAAAATAAAACAAGGTCAATTCAATTATTGTATAAGAGCTCAATTGTCATACATATGTACAAAAACAAATTTTTTTTTACATAATACAATATTTACCACTCCTCTGAAATTAATATTTAAGAGTAGCATGCTATCTCAAACTATCTAAACTAGAAATTGTAGTCATTTCCTTAATAACTAAACCTCTTGCTCTATTAATTGTTAAAAGACAAAGATAAATATGTTCTTCAAGCTCCTCTATTTGCTTCCTAAACCCAACGTCACCCTTCTTCAGCTCTTTCACTACTTGCAGAAAAAACTTATGTTCTCTTCTCTCCAAGCAAAACTTAATCACTTCCTTATTATGTTCAACTTCATCATGAAGCCTACCGACAAGTCTGCTCATGGTGTCAAAATCCCTATTTAGTATATAAGTTCCTTTAGCTGCAACATCAAGTTGCTGGCAACCTTTCATAAGATATGATCCACTTCTTAAAAATCCGAAGCTTTTCTTAAAGCTTTTTAATGGAAATCCAAATATTACAGGCCCCATCACTAAAGCAGTAAGAGTGTGAGCTGCTAAAACAATGGCTGATATTGCAATTAAACAACAAGCTGCTGTTATGCAAACTCCACTTGCCTTGTGTATACATGTCATAAGCTTTATTTTTCGAGCTACTTTTTTTCTTTTTAATTTTAGGTGATTTAATGCTAATGAGTACTTTTCATGAATAAGCTTGAATTCGTGCTTATTGGGAGAGGAAAATGGGTTTCTTTGAAAGATAAATGAGTTTAGCTCTGAAACAATAAGCTTTACCTTCTCCGGTGAGTAATCAAAATCATCAATAGTAGTGTCGATCACTCGTTGAATGTATTGGTAATGAGATTGAATCTGGGAAATGTTTGTGAGAAGATGACTGCAAATTTTTGAAGCTTCAGCACTTATTTCAAAGTAGTTAAGGATTAGGGTTTTGAGTTCAGGTATTTTCGAAAAAATAGTAGTTGATTCAAGAATTGCAGGTATAGTTTCTTGATCTGGTTCAAGAAGAAATTCAGAGAATTTTTTATAGCAGGAAGATGGAAATGGTGATAACGGTGATGATGACGACGGCGGCTCATTTACAAGCGATTGAGCTTTTGCAAAGAAATCGATATATGATTGTGTTCTTAAGGCACTAACATATTCTTCATTGACGTTCAAGCTTTGGCAGACATCCCTCAATTCTTTCTTATCTGAAAATAAAGAAGTAAAATAATCGAGCATAAGTAAGTAATTTTCAAAATTAGGGATTTTCATAACATGAAATTTCCTAAGCAAAATTCGACTATTCAAGAAACTTTTCAGACCTCTAACTATAAAAATTAAAAAAGAATTCCATTAATTTTTACATTACAATAGAACTAAACAAGGGGGGAAAAACATGTTTGTGATAAATAGTTAATATGAAAAGATGAAGACATACCTTTTCTGATCTTTAAAGCTCTAAATTTGCCCCAAAACATGTTAATAAATGTTTATAGAAAGAAGGTAGATATGTTATTTGGATACTATAAGATATGGAAATAGAGCTGTCAATCACTTTCAATAGGAAAAGATATGCAAATAGAATTTTCCAAAACTCAACAACTTAATTAGGTTTATTTTTCAAGAATTGAAGAGCAGTGAAGGGCTATACAACTTCTTATATAGATTTCTCTATTTCGTTCTTGCTTTATATATTTATAAATTTAAATTGTATAAAAAAGCCTCTATAAAAGGGCATTTAGTGTATTGTATTTCACGTTATATCTTTCTGATATATAGTTCTTATCTAATCTAACAAAGAAAGAAAGAAAAAAGGGGAGAGAGATTTACTTCTTCCAATTTGTTTGCAATTAGCTTTAAGACCAAAAATTGCTGAAGAGATCTCCTCTTCTTCAGGACCTTTATCGCATATGGTAGGCCTTGTTTCTTCCTTTTTGCCTTTATAATTTTGTCTTTTTATTGTTATATACTTATAATTTATACATATATATATATATTAGCTTGTATGCTTGTCCTTATATTGTTCCAACAGTTTGTCAGTTTGCCCACAGTTTTTTCATCATATGTGCCCGGAAAATTGTATCTAAAAACCATGAAAATAGTATGAAACACTCTTCTTATACAAGTTTTATATAAATATATGATCAATTACCGTTATATCCTCTATGACATAAATATAATATAAATATATAAACTTATACTTTAGATAATATCCCTAATAGGAATTGTTGGCTTGTTGCTGTATTTGAACTGGAGTGAGTGGATATTGTATAAGAAAACCTAATAAGATACTCAACCCATTAATAAGAAAAGAGCATTTGTGTTTTTGTGTATGCGTCGAAAGTTGAATTACAGTTAGGGTTATCCATTTCTTTCCCAATTCCCATTCTTTCTCACATGTATATTAATTTTCAATAAAATTTTCTGGTATTAAAACCGTGTTACCCAAAAGAAAAAAGAAGAACCAAAAAAAAAAAACAAAAAACAAAAAAAAAAAAAAAAAAAAAAAAAAAAAAAAAAAAAAAAAAAAAGAAAAATCTTTCTCATCTTGCCTAACTAGTGATATATTAAGTGCATTAGTATTTCAGGAGGGGCCAAACTTGTTCATCCTATTAACCAATGTTATTACACTCGGCCTGGATACTCACCGAGTAAAGAATCGGGTGGATAGATTATTGGTTTAACCCATTATGGGTCAATAAAATATTAATAATATATATTCATTAAATAATTACTATATAATAAAAAATACTCCCTCCGTTACATTTTATTTGCATGATTTGATAAAATATACATATTAAGAATTTAGTCAAACAAAAGTTATTTTGTCATTTTTTGCCCTTAACTTATTAAGATATATTAATAAAAGTCATTCATTTAATAAACAATCATAAATGTTATCATAGGAAAAAATAATTGTTTACATATATGACAGTGGTTTTCACAAGTTACGAAATCGCAACAAATAATGTAGAATGAGAAGAGTATCGTATTCACAGGGATTGTATACCAAGCACTAAAATTATGTTAACCTATTATTATTTATGTTAACCTATTATTATTTAAACGACAATAAAAGGAATTATATTTAAGAACTAACTTTAGTAAATAAAAGAGAATAAAAAGAAATCAAGCAATGCAATTTTTAATTAAAAGAATCAAGGATTAAAAGCTACTAGAGATTTTGACTTCACTTAATTCTATGCAATTTATTTTATTAATTCGTTAATCAATTTTAATTGTTCAAAATAGGGAAAATATCCCTAAATTCACTAACAAGCTCTCTCTATGCATTGTCAGCTATTTTAATCCGATTTAATTACATATCTTCCAATAGCGCAATCAAACATGAATTAAATCATTAGGTTTCACGGTTTATTTTGTGAATTTATAACCTAAGGTCATTAACTTATGAAAACCCCCATGAGTCAAACCATACAGCTTTCGCATCAAGTTATTATTCTCATGTAATTTATTACCCTTTTCATATCAAAACCCTTCTCCTGATAATGATTAATGAAATAAATCAATCCAGAGAAGAAACTCTGCTCGGTAGCATTAAGTTTAATAACAAATTATACTTTGAACCAAAAAAAAAAAAAAAAAAAAAAAAAAAACAAATCTGATATTAAAATTGAGAAAAGAAATTAAGCTACATCAAAATCCCTAGGTATGAGAGTTTAGTTCGACATAGTAATAAATAAAACTCAATAATACTTAATAAAAATTTCATAATCAATGTGAATAATGAAAAGTAAAACAAGATTAAGAGTTTAGAGATAAAAACTAGTCAATAATTACTTCTGGACGGCTTCCTTGAATCCTTGCACAGATTTTGAATGCTTGAAGTCTTGGAAAGAGAGAGAAATAATAGAACAAAAACTATCAAAACTAGAGATATTTGTATAATGAATGACTCCTCTCTTTATATAGACTTATTGGGAGAAAATCCGACTTCATTTAGAAAATAGAATCATCATTAAGTAAGAAATCTTTTTTGGAGATAGGAAACTGTTTAGGCTTTGGATTTCTTCTTAATTAGGACTCTTCCATCTACCTAAATAGGATTAAATCTTGATTTGTACGTCAGGAAAGTATCTGAGGTGGGCCCATGCAAGTGATAGAGACTAGCTGGCGTTCTCGACTTAAGACAGTACTTAATTCGTAACACAGGCGTGCTGTGCAGCACGGTCGGGGCGTGCCAGAGCCTGAGTTCTAAGGATGGTTTAGCACGGGCCGTGCTCAGTGGCACGTCCAGAGAAGAATCTATGGCACGGGCGTGCCCCATAGCACGGCTAGGCGTGCCCCATAGCACGGCTAGGGCGTGCTAGGCTCTAAGTCTCCAGGATGAAATGCATCACGGGCGTGCCCCATAGCACGGCTAGGGCGTGCTAGGCTCTAAGTCTCCAGGATGAAATGCATCACGGGCGTGCTTAGGCAAGCACGTCTTTATTTTGATGTCCACTTTAGGCACGGGCGTGCCAGATAGCACTGTCTGAGCGTGCTAGAGTCTGAGTCTCCACTTGATTTTCCTCGAGTCCAGCACGGGCAGGGCGTGCTAGAGCCTAAGTGTAGAGCCTAAGTGTTTTGCTTTATTTTGCTCTTTTCTGTACCAAAACCCTACAAATTTCCTTAAGATCAAGTGGATTATGATTCAAGGAAGCTTTACCCAAAAATATAAATAAAATTGGAAATAAAAATGCTAAAAATCCTAATATGAACTATATTAAAAATACTATAAAAATAACGCTATCAATATATAAATTTAGAAATCTTGCAAACGTTTTGGGATATCCAAAAAAGGAATAACAAGTGAACAAAATGAGACGGAGGGAATAATTAAAAATACTAAAAAATCAGTTGGGATCAATCGAGTACGTGCGAATCGAGCGGTTCAACCATGGGTTAATCAATTCTATCGGATTCTCTATCTTAAATGGTTCAAAATCAAAATTGGCTCAATCTTGAGGTCAGGTTCATCGGTTTTTTAGGTTGATCCATCGGGATGAGGTCGGGTTTTATAACTATGCTATTAACTAACTATACTAAAATTCAATAGGATAGTCAGTAGTGGTGCCAATAACAAAACAACACATACTAATGAAGTATCCACAGTACCAGTATATCGCCCAAGTGCTATCTCCATAATAATATTCGGGTCCATTTAACTTTCAATAAAACCCGAAAAAAAAAAAAAAAAAAAAAAAAAACAATTTCAAAACCTTCTTCTGTTCAAGCATGTATTATGTGAGAGAAAAAAATTACATATTGTGTTACTGAGAAAAAAATTGATAAATTTCATATAAATAAGTAAATTAATATTTCATGCTAATTAATTAATTATTTAAACAGTAACATTCAGCATAATAATTATTTTTAATTGACGTAAAAAAATTTGTTGATTTAAGTAATTAATTAGGAAACTAAAAAAATATTAAAAATGTTATTATTATTTTTAATTGTATTTGAAAACAATTGTTGATATTCAGTTTTTATAATTTCACAGTACTAATAACTAATATCATTACTAGACTTTAAAAAGAAAAAAAAACGTCAAAAAAACGTCATTACTGGTTTGAAATTTTCCAAAAAAAAGGAAAAAAAAATAAAAAATATGGACTAACGTCATTATTGGATTAAAAAAAATAACGTTGTTATAGTTTGAAATTTTCCAAAGAAAATAAACAAAAAAGAAAAAAAAAGTGAAAGTAGTTGAGTTTATAGTAGATGGTAATTTTGCTAATAAGCATTTTAATGGTCAAATTTGTTGAATTCATTTACAAATTCCATCAATTTTAATAGAATTTGAGTTAGGCATACTCAATTCTACTATAATTCAATTCGTAGAATTCAAATCTGTATTTTTTTTTTTCATTTCAAACACAACATTTTGGATTTTCAAATGAATTTCTCAAAATTTTATAGAATCCATTTATTCCAAACGGGTTCTTACCTGCACTAAATGTGTGAATTTACCCCTACACTAAGCAATTTAATAAATTACATAGGATAAATGAGGGTATATTGTGTTACTGAGAAAAAAAACACAAAATTTTTTTTTTCGAAATAGTAATTATTCTTTTTTTTTTTTTTTTTTTTTTTTAAATATGAGTTCGTTATAGATACAGTTACGATAGGCATATAGGTTTTTTTTTTTTATTGTATAGTTTGTAACGTCCAAGAATCTTTCAACTCCTGCTTCCCTAAATTTGGTGTTTTGTCCTATGTATCTATCCTAGTTTCGGTTTGGTTGGAAACTTAGAAC